ATATTTTTTGTTTTAATACTACAATATTATTATGCTTTGTGGTGTGGAAAACAAATGTTAAGTTATCTTAATATTTGCCATGATGTTTTATTACAAAATATGATTTATAAATCACAGATATTTTAATTAAATATAATATTATATATTTTGTAGACATTTTGGACAATTGGACATGACAAAGAATTAAGAAGCACGGCAATAAAGGTAGAAAAAATAGGGCTAGAGAAGCATCAGTCTAGTGTTGAGTATATCGGAAGCCCCAAAATTAGATGGATCCTATAATAATGGACATTAAGGACAGAATTTGTCTGTTTATTTTTTTTTAAATCATGTACCTATAATTTAAATTTTGAAAACAGAATGTACTGTGTCCTAGGCTAGGTTTATGGGAGTTTCATCTTATTAAAATACTTTTTCTTTTCAAATGTAGCCATCTACAGTGTTTTATTTGTGTCTAATTCTATTGATAATGAAATTAGAGCTGTCTAAATCTATAATAAGATATATTGCCATGAAATAAAAACACATCTCTCAAAAAAAGTTCTTTTGGCATTGGGTCAATATATTAAAATTTTAATATTTTTATTCTATCTTGTGCGTTCCATTCCATGAACAACATTTTTCAAAATAATGTTTATTTCATAGTTGGCATGAAAAAGGTAACTGTTTTTTTATATGTAAGTGAATTTCATCGCTCATCATTTCCAAGCCATATCTGACTAAGTTTTTTATCATACTTACTTAATTCACCAAGAATTTGATGATTAAATACATATATCTTAATAAAGTAATTATAAATATATTTATTCAGATATCAATTTAGACCTACATATATGGTAAAAAATATTAGCTTATAATTTCTTATTTATTTATTATTAAATTATAGTATTTTCATTTTCATCTTTACATACAAGTAACTATTTCTGTATTTTATTCTCATTCAAACTTTCAATAAATTTATTTTAACAGATTTTATTGTTTTTTTTTAAATTAATAGGTAGGTAATGGCAGTAATGGTAATAATAAAATTATATTTAAAATTTCTATTTTAATAATGACAAAGCAGAAAAAATAAAGTTTATAAAAAAAGTAAAACAAAAATAAAACTTTATAAAGAAAATTAGGTAATTACAGAAGATTAAATTATAATATTAAAAAGGGAGATTTTATGGTCTATAAAAAAGGATTTATTTATTATCCAATTTCAAAATAATACACATGCACAATTTGGCAACATCAACAGAAATTTGCTTACTGCGCATGCGTAGAACTCGGATGAAAGTCTCCCGATAGACACTTCTCAAAAATATATAGTATTTTTAATACCCATTTAGAATAACACCATCCTTATTTATTATTAATAAATCAGTTGAAACAAAAAATTACCAACAAAAAGGAACGTCGATAACTAATTTGTTAGATGTCACGTTTTTAAAGTTACGTCAAATTTTGATTTCATGTTAATGTCATAATGTAAAATAAGATATAAATTTCCCATATAAAATGACAGCGATCTTCATTTCATAGACATCGCTGACGTGTTTTTCGATCATACGGTATTTGTTAGAGAAAAAAATTCAAATTGAGCGCAAGTAGATTCATATACCTTATATTTAAATAGAACATTTCCAGTGCCCAGAATAAATCTACAATAGCAAAAAACACATATAAATCTCAATAGCAAAAAACGATCAGTAAACAATTACCCAAACTGCATATTTCTACAAATAAAAGCAAAGCCCTATTAATCAATAACTAATGCATTATATATTACCTCTTCATTTGCCAGTTCATTGATGTCAAAGAAATCTTCAGCTGACGGAGATTTTTGATCATCTAATAATAAAAAAAACATACTTATTTATGTAAATATATACTTTCTGCATAATCTATATAGTATACAGGTTCAAGACTAATGTTCTAAGGCTTCATTCAGTACCTCGCAATTAGTTATTAAAAAAAGTTATCAAACTTTTGACTTTTCCACTGCTTCAAAATTTTCTACAAATACAAATGTTATTTTGACATTTGATTGTCTTCCGCGAAGAGAACTTGTGGTTAGAAATCAAAAGTTGATTGTTTTATAAGCTAAATATTAAATATTAGGCTTTCTCTATAGATACAACCATGGCTGCGTTTAGGTATTAAAGGCGACAATCTGTTTGGACGTGACGTAACAACCTAGAGTTGTTTGTTCTTGTCCCACTATATTAAAATTAGATGAGGATGTCGCTGTCTATAAGAATATCCTTTGCTTTAGAATGTTGAAGGATGTAAATTTTATGTCCAGAGTGCATCTACCCTGAATATCTGAACACAGCCCTTGACAAAAGTATGAAAAGTGTAATTGAAACACTAATTTATTCGAGAAATGTTGCAAAGGTTTATAAAGGTACCATTGCGATAAAAAAGTAGTACAACAAAATATGATTTAATCGGCTGGTCTATAATAAAATATTAAAATTGCCCATTTTAAAAAGGTAGGTAAAATTTTTTATACTTTTATTTCGCCAAAGTATATCTACCAATTATTACCAAATTCATGGTAACGCCTAAAAAGTTAGGTGGCGTAATTGTATTGTTTTCATAGTGACGACGATATCCGCTTCTTGATATCCTTATAGACCAGGATTCAAGTTCTATCTGGGACTACTAATTCTTGTACTACTTTTTTTTTATCGCAATGGTACATGTACCCAGACACATTTTGTTGTATACAGGGTACCCCTCAAAAAAATGATAAAGTTGTTAAGTTCTTTAAGATTATATACCGTATGATCGAATAAAAACGGCGTCAGCGATGGTTATGAAATGAACATCGATGACATTTCCCATATAAATTTGCATATAAAATGACAGCGATCTTCATTTCATAGCCATCGCTACTAATATAAATTTCAAATAGTGATTTTCATTCTCTTGAGACTAGATTTTGGTTGGTTTCTAAAGACTAACTCGGGGTCAGACTGCACCATCTTATACTTAGGCATAAAAAGTTTTAATAAGATTTATAAATTTGTGCCAAATTTGGATCAGAATAATTGTGAATATAAAAACAAACTGTAGAGTCTTACTGAATAAAGTATTTTATTCGGTAAAGGAGTTTAAGTACTTTTCCTGTTCTGTTTTTTCCTGACTAGTCTTACGAGTTGCAGAAGTGTATATTTATATATGTTTATATACACTATTGAATGACATGGGCCTATTGAAGTTAATATATTATATTAAAGGCTGAACTTAGACCTATGTTTTGATGAGATTTATGTCTCGCGGCAGCTAAGGTGTTAAGTACATCCAAGATTAGTTTAGAATACTTACAATTTTCAGACTGATCTGCATTGTCAGTGCTATCTAAATTATGTAGATTTTCATTTTGTGCAAAACTATACTCATAGTCTGTTTTAGTCTGGATTTCTTCTTCGCCTATTACTTCCTTTAAAATTGATCCAAATGCTAACCTAAACAATTGTATGTTTATTATTCAACAGGTAAATATTAATAATAAACTTTTTTATATTACTTTCCCAACAGAGATAATTGTTTCTGCGATTCTGGGTCCAAAATATCGCTTTCTAAATTTCCTAATTCATCAATATTTCCAAAAAGAAATCCTGTTAAATTTACACCGTTACCACTATCTTCTAAATACTCTTCTTCACTCTCCGTCATTATAATTAAGCAAAATAAAATAAGTCCCAAAGTATTCTTCAAAATAACAATTCAAATAATTTGTAACACGAAATAACACAAACACTGCATTTTATTTTTATTTTGTATTGTAATGTATTGTACAATGTGACGTCAATCAGGGTTGTTTTTTGAAAAATTTCGATTGTGCAGGCACCAGAGGCAGGCACAGACTATAGACACGGCTATAGACACAAAACACATACACAAGAGCTATAGAGATGTCTTATGTCTATATCTCTGATCAAGCATCAATAGAGCCTATTAGTCGTGACGTCACATTTAGATTGGCAGGCATGCAAAGCTAACTTCAGAGCAATGCTTGATTCCAAACAATTAAAATTTGCCTGTGATTTTCCATAAGAGAGATTTTATTTTTAATTTTTATATATTTAAAGTGCTTTTTAGTGACCCAAGTGGACTTTTTTTGAAAAAATTGTGGTTTTTAAACAAGACAATCGAAAAACCGATGTATGTATTTTCAAAGCAACTTGGTAATAATTGTTTTAAACTTTCTGAGGTTATGACATATTGTTTTTTTTACATTTTAAGGCATTATTTCATCACTTTTTTTATATTTAGTCATAGATTTATACCCATCGAAGATTACAGTTGAGGGTTGGAACCTTTGGTGTTACACAGCAAAATAAAAACACTAAATCACCACAATACACCAAAACACTTTTACTTTTACACTGGACGCGCGTTTCGCTAACAATGTTAGCATCATCAGCAGATGATTATAAACTGATTAGTTTTGAGTTTATAATCATCTGCTGATGATGCTAACATTGTTAGCGAAACGCGCGTCCAGTGTAAAAGTAAAAGTGTTTTGGTGTATTGTGGTGATTTAGTGTTTTTATTTTGCTGATTTATACCCCCTCAAAAAAAATCACAAATTCTATTTGGAACATTATATTCCATTTTTATTAGGGGAAAAACATACAAGTAATTAATGTATACCTATAATAATACTTGTAAGATTATACTGTTTTTTGGCATATTTTTAGTAGTATTTAGAAGTACATAATTATAATATTAAAGTAGTAGATAATATAATATTAATATAAAACACTTAATCCTGTTCATTTATGAAGTCTTATAAACCTACTTACCTATCATTTTGGCTGAGGGGGACAAACACTTTGATTATTCATATTTACACAAGGAAGAACTAGGTAATTTTAATATTTATGAAATAAAAATTTGGGAAAATGTAATTTTCAATTTATTTAAAAACCTAACAAAAAAAATTGTTCTTTTAAGAAAATTTTTGATATACATACAAATGTAATATAAAGTTAAGCTCTCATCGAAGGGAAATAATAGAAAAATAATATACACAAACCAAAGTTCATAATCATAAAATGAATATGATAAAAAATAAGTAGTAAACAAGTCTTTTATATACAATACCTGTGTATAAACAATAAAATTTTTGTCATTAAAATAAGTTACTCTATTCTATACAAGTGTTCTACTTCAGAAATTAATGGGAATTGCAGATTTGTCAGAGCACCACAGACTTGGAAAATCTTTGTGGCTTGACAAAGTAAATTCTGAGGTAATGAATTTAATATGGAGAAGCATTTTATTCAAAACTAGTTGACGGTTGTTGTTTTTCAGAACCGAGTTGTTCACAGTCCATAGATATATTTTCATCAAATGTCTGAGAGAGGTTATAGATATATACAAGGCTTTGAGTTCTATCACTTACAGATTTGCTGACACTAGGTACCCTGTAAAAGTTTTAACTTCTAAAAACATGAAGAAAAAAATAATGAACAGTAATTATTATCACCTTTTCTTTTTCTCTGGAGATTGGAACGAAAATAGCTTGTTTTCATTATGTTCAAATAACGTTGGCATATTTTTTTGTCCCCATTACTAAAGTAACATGAACAAATCAAAGAAGATGGACTTGGATTCCTGTCTCCACGTCTAAAATTTGATCATTCAAAATTAAACATGGGTTATTACTTTTTAATGTTAATTAAGCCTACCTCACAAGCGAAATCCACTTCGGTATACCTCCACTTCTTTAGAAGAACTGGGTCTTTTGGGAAACGAAAAAAAGAACAAGTTTTTTTTCACTGTAATGTTTACATTCTGGAACAAAGCCCATAACCATATCTAAAAAAGAAAAAGTTTTAAACTGATAGCTTAATTTTAATTAGTAGTATTTTTTTAATAAACTATCAAATTATGGCTTGAAAATAAGTAAAATACAGATTTTAAAAAAGTGTTTCTTACTTTGGTTTAATAGATTATACATAACCTCAAAATTTTGAAATTGTAAAATAGTTATATAAAATAAGAACAAACTCACAGGTATTGTACATCTATTTTAAGCCAAGATTTTCTAGAATATAAAATAAATGTTAAAAAGTCTAAAGTAATTCGTACTTACTGGTAATTTAAATTAAAAACTTTCTTAATGGAAAAATACACAGGACAATTATTTGTTTGGAAACAATTAACTATCAACTGAGCCACAACGTCAACGGTGCTACCAACCTATTCAATGCAATGACGTCAGACTAATCTTGCTTATAGAGCCTATTAGTCGTGACGTCACATTTAGATTAGCAGGCATGCAAAGCTAACTTCAGAGCAATGCTTGATTCCAAACAATTAAAATTTACGTGTAATTTTCCACAAAAGAGATTTTATTTTTAATTTTTATGTATTTAAAGTGCTTTTTAGTGACCCAAGAGGACTTTTTTTGAAAAAATTGTAGTTTTTAAACATGACAATCGAAAAACCAATGTATGTATTTTCAAAATAACTTGGCAATAATTGTTTTAAACTTTCTGAGGTTGTCATATTGTTTTTTTTTACATTTTAAGGCTTATTTTTCATCACTTTTTTATATTTAGTCATAGATTTATACCCCCAAAAAATCACAAATTCTATTTGGAACATTGTATTCCATTTTTATTAGGGGAAAAAACATACAAGTAATTGATGTATATCTATAATAATATTTGTAAGATTATATTGTTTTTTGGCATATTTTTAGTAGCATCTAGAAGTACATAATTATAATATTAAAGTAGTAGATACCATAATGGTAACATTTGGGCTCTGCGGTGGAACTCTAAATTCACCTATTTTATTAATAAATACATACCTAGCTTTCAATATTAGTGTATATAAATCATTTGTGTCAACGAAAAACAATACTTTGTTACATAAATTATCGATAATACTTAAAAAATATAAGCCTTGATATTAAGCAAATCGGTAAAT